TTACCTGACATGTGCCACTATTGAATGTGAGCTGGATGTTTTAACAGTCACCTATTGATTAAATTCATAATAAAACAAGATGAATCACAGCAGATGACCATGATAAACTGATAATATCATACATTGGCTTTGCAGTGTATGAAAATAGTTACAAGTTAAGCTGCGTGTGCATACACTGCACAATTTGAGACCGTTTTGGACCAGATCTCTGGTATGACTCATGTCAGCTTTGTTGTGTTGATTGTCGTGCAGTGCACAGGGGGGAACAAGGAGTGATCAGATGCTCCTGATTGGCCATCTGACGATGGCACAACTTGGCACTTTCTTTTTCACAGCGCCTGGTGAAAGTGTAAAACCTGGTCAAAGTGAAACTAGGACACAGCAACATGACACGTCATATGGACCAAAAACAAAGGTCCAACAGAATACCTGCCTGTTTCACATTTCCTCCTCCGCCTATCAGAGGCTGTGCATTTCTCTCTTATTAGCATAGTGAAAGAAAACTTTGACTTCTTCTTAGACAATAATCGAAACAGACTGGAGGGGCTGACGGCTTCGCGCAATGTGAAAAGTCTGGACGAGGCTTGAAGAACGGACCTCAGAGAAGATAAATCATGAGCTTGAGTTTTCGATCGTGGGCAGTTCACTTGTTCAGTGTTAGAACTTTTAAAATTGCAGTGTACAACATGCTTTAGGAGAAATAGAGAGAGTATAAAAACCCTTCATTATTCAAATTTAATGAAGATTTTATTAGAAATTTGATTTACTTGTCAATTTGTAATGCACAGTCTATGTGATGTTTCTAAATAACATAACTACCAGCACTGGTATATTTGTAACAAGCTAAAACACTCAAGTATCTGATGTTTCTTTCTGGCTGTTGCCTCAGGCTTCGACTCAAAATCACTATCACCAACCTACAGGTTCACAACTCACATAGAGTAAAGCTGGAGAGCACTGGAGTGTTTCATACACACACATAATACAGACCTTCACCATGGTGACAACTCATCACTAATTCATACAGAAAAGTAGGAGGCATGTGAAAAGCAAAGAGTGCTGAGGTGTGAACTGATCTGTGTGTGTGTGTCTGTTCCTGTACTTATACCTTAGTGAGGACCATTCCAAGCATAGACCATGGAGAGTGAGGACATTTTGACCAGTCCTCACTGTTTGAATGGACTGTTTGAAGACTTGGTTTTAGAGTTAGTGTTAGAATTAGGTTAAGGATTTAGTTTGAATGGTTAAGGTTAGGGTAATGTGCTAGGGAATGTTTTGTGTGTATGAGCATCCTCACTTAGATAGAAGTGTGCGTTGAATGTAAAAAGCAGAACTCCAAACTTCAGTTTCCTCTTATCTGCTTGATAATGAAAGAGAGGCAGAAAGTCACAGAAACACACGCGCACACAGACACACACATGCACACCTTCCCTACCATCTTGCTGAAATAAATGAGGATAATAACCCACTAACTTCCAACATGAGCACAGTTACACTGAGCAGCATGAGATCTCCGCAATGGAGCAAAATGTTTATCTGCTTTCCTGTAATTTCCTTGAGTGGAAACTAGAGACAGTCCAACAGCAGCCAGCATCAGAAATGCCCCAGATTCTGCAGAAAATGCTGGACTGGGCATCGGCAAGTATGCAAATTGTTGAAGATTAAAGAATATTAGTTTTAGTAGCCTACTGTTTTGGTGATGAAAATAAAAAAAGAAATCAGATGTTGACGTTTCTGTCTTTCCGTTTGCTGCAGGATGTGACTCACAACCACTATCACCGACCTACAGGTTCACACCTCGTATCGATGTATGGTAAATGCATAAAAAAAACAAAGTGGGAGAGGGAAGAGAGAGTAGCAGGGGGGAGAGGAAATCAGTGCCAACAGGAGATGCTGTGCACTCTTAATGGGCCACTGTAGTCAACAGGAGATGAGCTAAATAAAACATTAAAGCTAGTATTATGTCATTTCCACCGCGCCTTTCAACCTCTGCTCACTCAGTCAGTGGGTGTGAGGATACTAGGCCACCGCTCCACTTAGCCCACAGTAGGGCATGATATCTTGGCTCATCCATATTCATGACCCTATCACTGTAACCCCACGTTCTGCTGGGATGCGTTTCTGAAAAGGTAATCTCTCTACAGGAGGTGCAGTTCACAACTGGGCTCCTTGAACTCATTCTTCTGAAATGTTCGCGTGGCTCAGCCTCAGTGTGGAGTTCACACCGAATTAGCTGTGATAAGTGATTGTGTAATCATCCCAAAAACACATGAAGGATATATTAGTAAATCACAGTAATTGTACCAAGAGAGCAGGTAGATTGGATGTAACAGTTTTCTGTGTGTGACCCTCGTACAACCGCATCATTATGAGAAGCATTTGTTGAAAATGCCAGCGAGGAGATTCATCTTCAGCTGACATTTTAAAAAGGACGTAAGGGGGCACAGGGGTCGCACAAAGCAAAATCTCTTGCACAGGAGATAGTGAGTTGTGATGATTTCATACTGTTCAGCACGGTCTCTAAATGAGTATGAGGCCCTTGTAAATACTGACTCACCCCTCTTACAGCTGGTAAATGAACAAACACGAACGACTTTCAGGGAAGAAACAACACAGGCTGTTCAAATCTCTAAACTTCTCTTTGATTCAATTGTGCTTTCATTTTGTAGAACAACAACAACTTGTGTGTGTGATGGAGAAGGTTACACCAGAGTGAATAAAGAGAGATATTCATTTGGAAAACACAAAAACCCTCTTATAATGATCACAAAGAATAAAGAGACAATAAGCATAGCACAGTTTCCCTTTCTGTCTTGTTACCAGGGGCGTCAGCTGCACAGTAAAACATCTGGGGCTGAGCCCAGAGCCCGGGGGGCCATAAAAATATACATATTGGCCCTAGTTGCCTGTTATTAATAATCTTATCCATACAATAAACAATAGAAAATATAACAAGCTGTTAAAACATATTGTTAAATAATAAACCTGTGGTTTTGAACATTTTTCACTTCTGAAAATACAGTTATTTCAAATGTCTGAGTTGTAAAGATCCAGAGAGAAACAAGCTTTCACATTATAACTCAAATCCCTGTATATAAATCTGTTCAGGTATTTTACTGTAGCTTCACCTGCTGCTTACACAACTGCTTCAGTACAAATGATCAAATGGTGTCATAAAGCTTAATAAAGTAATATAATCAGTCAAACTTTCGAAACTTTAACTACAGTTAACCTGCCTGTTTCTGCCGGTGTCGTTAAATTTAAATATTTCAGCCAAGGAACATCAGCGAAATGGTGCAAAAACGTTTTGACCCTGAAATAATTTATCATGTGACCAGTAATGTACACTGAGCCAAGTGTAAACGTGAACTACTCTGCAGTTGGTTGCTTAGTAACAGAAGCAAACGAGGAAAAGCGATGGTGAAAAGTCAGAGCCACTTAAATCTATACAAATAAAATCGGAATGAATTGAATGTCACACGTCAGAGAATATGTGCACAACTGGGTCCAGACTCTGCCCTGAGTTTTTCCCATTTAAACCACACAGCAGGAAATTCTCTGCTCAGACGCGTTCACCACAACACCGTCAGCCGCACCTCTCACTCACTCACAAAGGCAGTCAGGATTTGATTACATGGGTGTTAAAATGGAAAGTAAACCTATCCTCGTCCCACACTCATCAACCAGCGATATTTATAATATAACATAATAATTGATATATTGCAAAATAATCACATAACAACACATCATGATGTATGTCGAGAGAAAAAATACCTTACAAAGAGGAGATGAAGGATTTGTGTATTTTTTTACTGTGATCTCGTGTCAGAGAAATGAGATGAACCAAGAAGTAAACATTGATATTTGGCAACAGTATATTGAAATATTGCCGTATCGATAATTTGTCTCTTCCCTACTTGTTACATAAATACACAGCTCTGAGACTGAAAGACAAGAGATTTAGTTTAGGCCTCCCTCACTTCACCTGTCACATGTTGTGTCTTCTCGCTCCTAAGCCGACTGTCACACAACAGTGGGGATTTGACCGCAGACAGCCCAGTAGCGGCGAGTTTCCACTACTCTGTTGTGCTCCGTGCAGCAGGCTGTTCATTGTCAGAGCCTGTCAAAGCTCTGCTGTCAGAAATCATTGTCGCCATCACAATATTCAGCCCCACAGCCCCTGCTGGCATTTGAGGCAGTGGATCACAAGCTGCCGGGTGGTGACACAAGCAGCTGCAGACGCATATGCAGCACTGAATGCATCTTAGTTCCCAAACTAACATTATTTTATTAACACACAGTCACAATCTGAATGGATGTAAATCTTTCTTCCAGATTTTGTTGAGATTATTCAAATTTGAACCAGACTATGGACGACTGATTGCTTTAGACGGCACTTGATCCTCAACATGTGTCCACCTCAGTCAACTCTTTCAATGGCTCCCTCTGCCAAGGCTATGTTTTTATCTAAATTTGTTTGTGTGTTATTTAGCAGAACTACACAAAAAAACTACAGAACCGATCTCCATGAAGCTTTGTGGAGAGATGGGGAAGGACCCCTGTAAGAGGCCATTCAATTTTGGAGCACATCTGGATTTTGAATACAGGAAATGTTTCACTTTCTTGCAACATGGTGTAGCTTTAGCCTTGACGGAGGTATTCACTGTCTGGTCAGCCTTCAATTGCTTTCTCATTTTTTATTGCTCTAAGGTTTCGGACAAGGATAAACTGTATATTTGTTAGTCATCAGGTTCAGCTATTTTCTGATCTTAAT